ATTGGAATGATGTTTGGTGGTGTGCTTGAAAAAACAACATTGGAAACTTCCAAGAAATATAGCTGACTGTCCACACCATAAGATTTCTCTGGAAAAAAACTATTAAAACTACAAGGTCTGGGGTTTTCTTTCTGTTAAAAGAAATGGATAACTTCTCTATAAAAGTTAATCAAAATTCTGTGAGGGTCAGTCAGTGAGATGACTTTGTTTCATAATGCTGCTCATCTCTATATAGGAACTCTTTCTTCAACAACTGTTGGTAACTATTGGCCTCTAAAAGATCTGTTTCAAATCATACAGTCTTGGTATTTTCGGGATTTCAATGGGCTGTGTCTGACAGAAGGACAGCAAGACAGGCTGCTCACTCTGAACTTCCTGGCACCACTACCAGAGGGAGGGAGGGAGGCCAGGGAGACCTCTAGTGGAATGTCAGTGAAGACCAGGTGGAACACACAAAAGCTTCAACCAAAAGGAGATTCCGCTTGAGTGTGAATTCTTTCAACATGAATTGGAGCCACAGAAATAAGCTCTAAGACTAGTATGAATATATTAAAATCTCTGGGTAAAACCAAGTTTGCTTAGTCTAGCTGACAGTGGGGAACATGGGAAGGCCATAGGTGTGGCAATAGCCACAGGAACTTCATGGTCTATGTTTTCTCCCTTATATGAATTGAGGTATGAAGGATAGAATGCATAGAAGTACCAGCTTGGTCATTTCTCACATTACTAAGAAGTATACTGGCATGTATGCACACCCACATCCTACACGCACATACATATATATGTAAAGGAGACCCCAAGGCTCCAGTACACAGGCTATCCAACACCAATTAAATTCTTATTTTAATGAATATTAAAACAATAAAGGAAAGAATAAAGTACTTGTTTTCATCTGAGTTGTTTCAAAGTTCTCCCAAGAGAAACCAAAATACCAGATCAAAGTTCTTAAACAAAATCAATCCCCAAAAACAAGTACTTTTACTTCTAAAGTATTTGTAAGATTGGGATTTAGTAATATGCACAAATATATAGTAAATTAACTGGGCTTCAAAATAGGAATTCATGAAGTCAGTCTGAAAAAAATACCTTCCAACCAATCAATTAAAAATTACTCATTTGAAAGGAATCTCAATTAAAGATTAAAAGACTTAAGAAACATATCAACCAATTACAACTGATGGACATTATTTTGATCCTGACTTAAGCAAACTATCTTTAAGTATATGCAATTGGGAAAATCAGACATTGATGTGATTATTGATGACATTAAGAAAGTGAGTTTGCAGTATGATAATGATAATATGGTTACATTTTCTAAAGCCTTTCTGTGTTAAAGATACACACAGAAAGATTTATGGATGAAGTGATATAATGTCTAAGATTTGCTTTAAAATAATAGGGAGTGAGTGAAGATAGTGATCAAGTAAGACTGTCAGTTGATGGTTGTTGAAACTGAATGATAGATACATGGAAATTCATTATACTATCTAGTTTTTGAATGTTTAAAATTTCCTATAATAAAATGTTTTTAAGAGAGTTCTTATGTGATACAGATATATAATGAAATATTGTAGATGAATATAATGTCAGGGATATGCTTCAATGTGGCACATGATTTTAAGTTAACTGGTGAGTGGAAAATGCATGATGGGATCCCCAAATGGACAAAACAAGACCAATTTGGAGGTTATTGGAGTAATCCAATTAAGAAATGATGATGGCTAGGACAAGAGTGATAGCAGTAGAGAAAAAGAGAAGTTGCTGTGGACAGAGGATATAACAGATGGAGCTAGAGTCAGTACCAACTGCAATATAGTGTGGGCAATTTCCAGCTTGAGCAACTGGATTCACAGAGGTCCCTTCAGAGAACCATGTGAAAGAATGAGAAAACAACAGTGCATGCTAAGACCTGCTAAATTTCAGCAGTATATAAAGCATCAAAGGAGACAG